TTATTTCTGTATAGTATTTTTTTTTGATTTATAAAATTTTTTTTTTTTTTTTTTTTTTTTTTTTTTGGGGGGGGGGGGGGGGGGGCATGGGGGTTGCACATCTGTTCTGGTATCCCATAGTGGCAATTTCATTTTAACACGAATCCAAGCTACTTTTTAAAGTTTTAAACAATTAAAACTGTGGACTATAATGTGAAAAAAGGCTTCTTGAATTTGACATTCTTTTCTAATATCTGTAATATCTGATGTGTGTGGGGTTTTTTTGTGTGTTTTTGTTTGGGTTTTATTTTACAATCAGCTAAAAATATTCTGTGTAAAATTTTTAGGAACAGTTTAGATATGAATGTGGTGACTAAAGTGCAATAATCATTCATTCTTTTAAAAATGGTTTTCCGATTTTATGTTAAAATGCTGACATTTATCGACACAAACCACCAGCATCGGCTCATGTCATTTAAATACTGTCACCTTTTTGTTAAGGCAATTATTTTCACATAAGTAAGATTATAAATATTATTTATAAAGCATTCTCATTATCCCACCTAATAAAACTCTGACATTTTCCTTTCGTCTGACTGTTTGAAGCTATGCCCTGTTTTGCATGGTGGTGGATCAGGCATGTGACATGTGACATATGCATTGACGCTGTTGCTAGAATTGATGAGCAGAACAAAAAAAAAAGGATGTAATTCTGTTTTTTGAAAAGAGGTTCTGTTAAGCAGCTAACACCTGCAGGAAATAACTTTCATAAAGTCTTCATTTAGTATAAATTCAAGAGGCTGATGCAAACGACTTGTCCAAAAGAGGCCAAAACTGACACAGACGTCTCAAACAACTCCAGTCTCAACAAAATCATGTATGTGCAAACTCTATTTCATGAATATTCCTATTTTTTCTCTCTTTTTTTGCATTGGGGAGTTATTTAGGCAGATATGGGTGTGCACCACATCTTTGTAATAGGAACATAGGATTTAGCTATTTTAACGGAAATACACACTGATCACAAAGTTGACATTTTAAACCCATCATTTCTTCCTTCTTTTTTTGCTCCTTCCCTTCTTTTTCGCAGGAAATGCACATTTTTCTAGTTTTGGTTACATTTAGGCAGACACATTAAGGAAAATCGGTTAGTACAGTTTTTAAATCATGTTTATAGATCTTTTTAAGACCCCCCCCCCCATCCCCTACATCAGAGAGGGTGTAGCCCCAACACTCCCTATAGACCAACACCCATTGCCTTTAAGTAAAATTATGAAGGAAAAACTCTAGCTTTGTCTCAGATTTTTAAGCGAGTCATCACCAAGAAAGTCCAAGTCTTCCACAAATCTTTTATTATTTTCCTGTTGAAAAGAATGGCTTTCTTTATTTACAAAGTAAAGGTTACATAGCTGAATAGATAGGAGGCCTGAGTCGTGAGGCTTTGGTGAATACATATTTCTCTAATAAAGGTCCAGGTTTTAAAATGACCCCAGAGACTTCAAAGAGCAGAGTTTTTGCACATGCTTGGGGGAATCCCAGATAAACATGAAGCAAAGATTTTATCGAGAAGGAAGGAAGAGGAAAGAGTCTGTTTTTGTTTGTTTGTTTGTTTGTTTTTCGCTTTAACTCCTTGGGTAAAACATGGCATATTTGGATGTCCGGAAGCCCAGCAGGTCCCTCATCTCATTGCGAAACTTGGACAGGTCTTGGCGTAGGTCGTTCAGATTTTCCACCGTGGCTTGATCCATGCTCTGCATCTTCTGCCGCGTGGAGGTCAGGTAGCGGTGTACCAGACAGCACATGATCTTCTGGTAGTTCTCGTCATGCTTCTGTTTCA